ATTTTTTTCTCACTGGCTGTACAAGACGAGAACTCATTTATTCATTTCATTGAATACTGCTACTATCACTTCGTTTTTTCATGAAATTTTCGTCACAAATTGCGTTTTTGTTTTATCCGTGTATTTGCTTGGCGAAGTCCTTGATAGCGATCATCAACGATTGCCATAGTGGCCGCTATCAAAGATTGCCCGGCGATACATCAAAAAGTGAGTTGGTAGACGGAGTTGAACCACGGCCGCGCGATTCCAATCGCTTACCCGTTTGAACAAACCAGCTCGAGTGTTTCTTTTTCAAGTACAATTTGACTACATGCCTCGGCAGTGATCCGCATCCAAATCAATAGCTCGCCGTATGCTGGACTGAGGCGCGATGACCTCAACTCCGGTCCGCGTCGAGAGAGATGCCTTGATGGGGGGTTTACTACGGGCCAATGACTAGAGTGGGTGCGAGTCGCTGTCCCTTAGCTCACCCCAGCCTGATTTGTAATAATGCCCTGACCATCGGAATACCTATATTGTAAGCATTCGTGAAGAAGGGTTTGAACGTGCAGATTCATATCAAGGGTGAGGAGCATAAAACTAGGTATAGTAAGCCCAGCAGTAAAAATGTTCTAATTCACTTTCTGTTTGCGCATCCAAGCAGTATGAAAGGATCTATTGTGGCTAACATGCGTAAGATGGTTCTACGCGTGCCCTTCGGCGGCGACAAACGCTCATGTTCCATCGCCTTGGCGGGTAGTTGCGGCATCCAGCGGCTATGCTGTGCGTGAGCACGTCTTTGGGGCCCGCGGGTTGCGTCGGGATGGGACTCGTAGATCGGGCAGTACCGCTGAGTCTGCCTGCCGTTCATCTCTAATAAGTTGAGCAGTGCAATGAGGCGCTGCGTAAAATACGCGGGTTTGCACGGCGTAACAAGAGGTAGTCGATATCCCTCCAGCTAATCTCAAACGGCAACTTGTTTGAAACCGCGCTATGATGTACTTGCCCTACTCCTAATTGTGTAGTCTGCCCATTTGGTAAAGAAGGTGATTGTATGCAGTCCGGGTTCATTTATCTTTTAAAACGCCTTTCATGCGGAGACACATACAGGGCTTATCAAACGCAGTGTCGCTTGCATCAGCATCTCCACTCCCGCGTTGGACTCTGCGTTTCTTCAGCGAACATGATCTCTGATCACTTTCCCAGGGCGGGCGTGGGAATGGCGGAGCCTCAATCGATTGGAAGTGATTAGGCAAGCGACACTGTGTTTGATAAGCCCTGTACATTGGCGAAACAAGGCGCCTGCTTTATTGTCGCGTAAAAGAGCATGTACATAGAATGGAAAAGTTAAGAGCAGCTACACCGTTAGGAAAACATCGTGTAGTGCGTCATAACAATCCTAAGGTACAAGTTGCCGTAAGAACCTTGTCGTATGAATCCGAGATCCTCGCTCGCGAAACGTTGGAGACGTTTTGAATTAATGCCAAGAATCCAAAATCGAATGTAAAGGAAGAATGTGTCGCCATCACGCAGGAACTCGCGCCTTATCAGTACTTATGCGGATTTGAGTACGAGGTCAGATCATCACGGCACATATAAAGGAGCTGAGGCGAAGTCTTGTGTACAGGTGGTCTTCTGACTTCCGCTTTGTGTTATTTGAGGTGAGTATGGTCTTTGTACTTCTGACAATGTTTCGCGTTAGCTCTCTCTCTCGAAGAGTATCCTGAGTCTTTTCCTGTCGTCTGAAGAAATGAGTTGCCTATAACATCGACTTTCAGGCTCTGGAGAAGGCACCGATATTTTAGGCGTCAAAAAAGTGTTAACAATCTCAATGAATAACGTTCACACGCCATTTCCACAACTACCAAGAATGCCAAGATTCAAAAACGATCGAACATGGGCAATCTGTATACTCGTTTCGTAGAAAATGCATGCGACTTGTGACTGCAACCTAATCTTATTCTGAGAAGCTTTCAAACGTAGCGAGGTTGATTTCGATTAATCCCAGCATAGCTCTTCTTTTTTCCATTTGGAAGCTCTCCTTCTAGTTTTACAAGACCACTTGCGTTTTTACGGAGCTCCGTCCGTCCTGTACTTACGTATTCTACAAAGACAGCAAAACGAATGTGAAAATTTTCTTTTTTGCTTCATTTTCGTAACAGGCAGAGAAAAAAGTTTTTTTTAAACCATACATACTACTTGTTGGGGACTTTTACTACAAAATGCTTGCCGATATATTATTTGAAAATATTTAAACTTTATTTTTTTTAGCTTAAACATGATCTGTCGTTGTGGTCCTAATCAGTCTTATACAGCGTGTCCCAAAAAATGTGCACACCGTTTGATTGTAAATAACTCTTTTGTGGTGAAGTGTTTCGAGACGCTTTAAGTACCGTTTTGTAGAGCGAGGATCAACTTAGATTTACAGTGTAGAGCGGATCGCCAATCTCTCACTCTTACTGTAGGATTACGGTATAAACTTTGAAGAGGTATTTGAGTCATAAAAGGCCATATTTTGTTCCAAAAAGAAACCAAAACAACCTGAAAACTCTCACACTGGGCTAACTAGAGTTGCTGATTCTAAATGTGAAGTTCGCAACTCTTCGTAATGCTTCATTAAAAAATTATGCGAGGTAAGCAGTAGCAGACGTTTTTTAAGTGTTCCTAAAAAGTGCGGTTACACTGTTTAAAAAACTTCTCAACCCTGTAAAGGTTGGGTATTGAACTCAGGGAAAATAAATGAAGTTTCTACCGTACTCCTACAGTAGGAGTGAGCGATCGGCGATTCGCTCTACACTGTTAATCTAAGTTGAACTTCGCTATACAAAATGGTACCTAAAGCTTCTCGAAACACTTCACTACAAGAGAGTTATTTACAATTAAATAGTGTGCACATTTTTTTGGGACACCCTGTAGAATTGAGCGCAAGGCAGCCAGAGACTTTTGCTCTATGTAGTTAAGTTAAGCCTAGAACATTTACAGCAGAACTAAAAGTTTTCCAAATGCTAGCGGAAAAAAATTGAAAATTCGAAAAAAAGGCATTTTCTTCTATCTTAGAACGGTCGAACTAAATAGTTTTCAAATCTTTTAGCAGAAAATTTACACAAAAAAGACAGAGCAGAAGGTCGCGTTTGCTTCAAAAGACATGTTCGCCATTTTGGCTAAAAAATTTTGTTATTGCTGCAAGATTGAGTAAGCACAAAATTGACAAAGAGTCGTAAATAGTAAATTAATTTATTGCACTCGCAGTGAGCATTCCATAGAAGAGTTATGGAATCAAGATCAAACCTTCAGAGAGAGTAGAACTATTGAAATATTTATGCATTCTTAAGGGCCGGGCATACTTTACGCGATTTCAGGCGCGACGCGATCTGGCAATTCGCCAGAAATCTTCGGATCCAACATTGGCAATCTGCACAGTGTGTATAACTTATCTGAATTGATAAGATGCCCTATCTTCTATTCTTTTGCAATGTGCTTACAGTGAGTTATGGACAGTCGGGATATTGCCAAATCGCGCCGCGACTGAAATCGCGTGAAGTATGCCCGGCCCTTTAGATTGTTTGATGACCGCGTTCAAAAGAGGGGATTGAGTTGTTCTATTTCTTTTTCTAATCTATGGTGTTGTGAGAAAACATAGAAGAGAAAACTCGAAACTATGCTTGGTAAAATAAAGATAAAAAATTTTTCTGATTAAGACATTTATGTCCTTTCATTGATCAAAAAGGACTTCTCTGAATTTTCAGTGCATCATTACCATCGCATTAGTAATGTAAGGTTGGAGGTACAGCTGAGCCCGCGCGTTTCAGTGCATAGTTTGAGCCCATGTTTCAAGAAAGTGGACTCTTGTTTCTGAGGTAATTTCCAAGCTCTAAACTCTATAATAAGTGAATATGCTTTTCCAAATCGCTAAAATTATCAGAGGTAAAGGCAATGTCCGGACATTTAAAAATTCCAGTGTCATGAAAGAGGAAACCTTCGGATTTAAGACTGCGGATAGTCCTAGCTAAGCCGAGTCGCTAAAAATGTGTTTTTGCCCCGACACTGCTTTTGAGGTTAGCGGTCGCAGTCATTTATAGACCGCGTGTAGATCGTGTGAGATTTGATAGGTTTGATTGTAGTGGAGAACACACCAAAGAGGCTGTTACAAGTCATCAAACTTCAGGCTTATGCAGTGCACCGACTTTGAATCTTCATATCCGCATATCGGATGTCAAATCCCGATGTGTCTGAATATTGAGCAAGTCTTCATGTCTGCACCAGTAGTCTAGGATTCTGTCGTTGTGGAACAAACATAGTTTGTAGTCACCGTAACCAGCTGCCTGATGTCTTTCCGCCCTCCTGCTACAACAACAAAAAGAATTCTATCGTTACAATCAGTCACAGTCATTCTATCGTCCAGCAGTCACACTGCTACACTGGTGACACACAAGTGAGTGAATCTCTTCTTCCAAGCTCTCTACTTCCATGGAGGACGAATTGAATGCGCAAGTGGAAGACAGTGTTTGTCGGAGAGAACGTAGATCATAGTTACTGACTACTTTTAGGCCTCCGACGACGGCGTGTTGCCGAAACGTAAGGCAAATAAAGTGTGTCATCATAAAAACCTGTACGGCATAAGAAAATTATGGTAGCTACCATTCAAAGATAATGCTCAGGTTTCAAAATAAGAGTGCGTTCATACTGATCCCGAAGTTTGGGAACAGTTCCAGCACAGTGCTTAAACTGAGTGCTGTGCTGGAAATATTCCCGGACTATGGGATCAGTATGAACGCAGCCTAAGAGGACATATGGAATTCTATCGTTACAATTCCCCGGACTCGACCCTCCTTATCAGCGCCTGGAGATAGTTACAGTACACTCAAAGCATCACTTCATCTCCTTCTGACATTCATGATCGGTTACCGACAGTGAATAATTCAAAAAATGGCTGTATTTCGCGATGGCTGACATTGAAGAAGCTGATAATTGAGTGGTAAACATTATGAAATAGAGTGAGATTCTGTTTTATTAATAAATACACACAATCAATGTCAATATTCGCAATAATTGTTAAAATCAAAATACAAATACCCTCAGACTAAGTAAAATCCTGATTTCTGAGTGCCGAGCGACATTGAGAACTTCACGACTGTTTATGCATTTCCCCAACCTCGTCTCTTTTTCCTTAAAAATCGGATACTGCCATTAGTAGCAGCTTCGGCGTAGAACCTATTAGATGCTGGACTGAACGACTATGACGACGCAAGATCAGATGAAAAGAAAGAAACCTACCTTGTCGGCTTTGGCGGAAGTACCGCAATCTTGTATGCGTCTTTTCGGAAACTGTAACCCTGTTTCCGACGTCGTAGTTTTTTGAGACGAAGTGATTTGGTACGAGTTGGTCGCTGCGTCGTGTTCAAAGCCGGCCGTACTAATCTACCAGGAACATGTTGGAAGCGTGATCTCTTCTGAATCATTCAGAATTGAAAAGATCAATTGTCTTCTTCTTTGTAGCCTTGACGAACTTACATCTGATGATCCATCAACCCGTTGAATGTCCAACGTAAGAAAGCTTTTATGCCGGTTAGTTATCACTCGCAGTGGAAGAGTACTCACTGCAATCATTTTTTGTCGGTGCTGATCTGACAGATTAAGTCAAGCTGGATCATTGCTTGATAAAACAGTGTGCTAACAAGGGAATGGTCAGAAGTCGAAGTGGCCAAACTAAAGAAGCCGTATGTCATTCGATGCAGTATAAAACGCTGAATCTGTCTTCGTTATCTGCTTCCCGCTTCTGTGGACGAGCTACAGTTTTATTGTAAAAAAATCATACATAAAAACAGCGAAGTTGAGCACATTGTTGCACCTTTAGCTCGGCTTCTGGCTTCAAAAATTTTAAGTAAGCTAGCTGCATGTTTTGGCCCAGCATTGAGGCGAACGAGGCTCTGTACGGCTAAATTTTCAATTTCACGCATAATTTCTAAGCAAAATAATGGTCTTTAATGGCTTATAACTTCGTCCAGAAAAGCGATAAGCAGGTAAAGGAAACAGATATGGAGTCAGCGCTTTATGCTGCATTTAACGCTATGCAGCTTGTCTAGAATTGCCACTTCGATTTCTGAACATTCCCTTGTAAGCCGCACTGCTAGCTACTTTTGCTTCAACCAGATCGACGGCTGGACGGGGCTCCGTGACCCAGTAAAGGCTAAAAAATGATCAGAGAGCTGCATGTACACGACGGAGGCGCAAACTGCGTCGGGGACGCAAGCTGTCGCCTCATAGGTCATGAAGCTCCGCCTTCCAGCAGCCAACCTGGTTGAAGCAAAAATACGTTAGCAGGCGTCCATTGCTAAAGATGGCTTGCGCGCAGCTCCAGCCGTCTTGCGGCGCCTGACATTGGCGCATAAGTTTTCACAGCCATCGTTGCAAAACGTTGCCTGAAGGTACATAGTTCGGCAGCCGCGCGCAGCACATTGCATTCAGCTTACAGCTACGGCCAACTTCGGGCGCTTGACTTTATAGACAACAGATTACTGCTCATTTTAATGTGCTGCTAGGCCGGAAATTCCTTCAAATCAGTATTCTTTTAAATCCACAAAAACACTTATTATCGAAACTTTAATTACATCAATGTGAAATAGATTTTATAATCACATCTTATTTGATTCAGAATGAAATTTTTAAGCTCACCTTTCCGACTTGTGTGGTGTAGTGGTTTTGCACTGACTTTTGGCTGAAATCGAGTGCATGAACGCTGATTACACTAAGTGATAATTGACATTCTCAACGATTGAGAATGTCAATTAGTGATAATTAACATTCTGTTCAATTGATTCGGAAATGGAAAATTAGCAGCAGCAGATACGGCATGCAGGAAAGTTTCAAGGCATTTCTTACTCGTTTTGAGAGCTAATAGGGACGCCGTTATCACAATGATATCAAGGTTCATCCCCACTATAGGCCCACCAATCCCTCCACCTTGGGAACCTAAACTGTTACCAGAGTTATTAGAGAGAATAGCAGTAGTTCGGTCACGGGATGTAACTATCAATAATTTTCGTAAACTAAATCTGTCGCTCCTCCTTCCCCTCGATGCGCTACTGATTCATTCACACCCTGCCACCGAACTAAATGTCTTGTTTTGTGTAGAGCGGGTTTGATCATAGAATGTGCAGGAATTTGCACCTAGCAACATACCTTGTTTTTGCAAGCATCCACTTCAAATTAAAGGCCGAATATTGGTCGCATAAACATAACTGTGTAGAAAGCTTAGCCCAAAATCTCAGCTGTACTGGGCTGCTCCTTGAACTCTACTTCAATTCATATTAGATTCCATGCTATCGCTGCCAAAAGATAATTTACCGTGCTGCTATTAGTTCAACTCACAAGGAAAGTGATCAGTCGCGGTGGCTTTTCGAACGAATTTTATAGTCAAAGAGAATTGAACACTGACTACAAAACTGTCTTTGGATCTCTCTGCGCCTGTGGATGCCGAATTATAGGCATTTTGAGATAAAAAAATTTGATCACGTGTTTAGGACGGAATCATTCAGCATCGGTCAAGCAATTTGTTCGCCGAAATGTTTAATAGCGGTCAAAACCAATTTTTTTTTCGCTACGTGACGACCTTCCGCACAAATATCACCGCAGGCGGATATACACTACCCTTTCTGCAGTGCGTAGCAAGTGGTACCTGGCTAGGCAAACGGCTGCTATCGCAGCCAGCCGCCGAAGCTGCCGGCAAAAACCTGCAGATGGTAAGTCATGCTCATTGTCTAAAACTTTTGCAGAGACGTTTCCTCGCACCTCGTTGCACTGAGGTGCGATACTAGCCTCATGGATACGCTGATATCCTCGACATCTATACCACTACTAACTGGCAGACCCGGCTCTGCCCGGTCCTGTCAATATTATATTCGTAAGCATGCTCATTTATCCTTGTGCCAACTCCCAACCCCGTAGCTCAAATTTCGCAAAAAATCAGAAAAATCCAGATCGATCGATAACGAAAAGTAACCTACGACATCCGCCCCCGCCCCGTAGTGTATGTGTGCAAAATTTGATCCGAATCGGTTCAGAAATGGAATTTTTTATTCGGAACATACGTACACATGTACACACGTACACCCGTACACACATACACACATAAACACATGCATTCAGCTTTCATAAACGATAAACATCAAGAAAACCTAAATTTTTGAAGACTATGCAAATAAATAAAGCTATACAGAGAAGAGGTTTACTTTAAGAAAATGTTGTGGATGCAACAGGAAATGTTATGGATAAACTGTCAGAAAAGTCTGTCAAAATTAATATTTTATGGTCTGGCTAAGTTAAAGAAGCTGAATAAGCCAAAATGTGTCAAATAAATTGAATAAGTTTGAAAAATAAGAAATAAAGTTTGTCAATGATAGGTATGCCATATTTGCTGATATAAAAGGGAACAGTGTAGAACACCCAGAAATCAAATTCTTATTTTAATCTATACAGTTGCCGACAAGAGCCTCAGGCTCAAGCTTACGTGGAAATTTGTCACTTCCCTGAGTATTTTAAGAAAAAGTAATAATTAAAGAACTTTGAAACCCGGAACACAAAATAAAAAAATGATCCAAAATTGGAACGCACTCCTAACAGCCGCTTCAACAAAAACGCGCTTCGAATTCGGAAGTGTTCATGAAAAGTGAATTCGACTTCTAAGAATTTTCAAAAGAAATTCTTGAATCCTTGAACTACACCGTTAATATACAATAATGGTTTCTTGATGTCAAAATTTGCAACGGAAAAAAGACTATTTGATTTCCTTTTGTTCTATTTGTTCATTTTTGTGTCTATAAATTTTTGTAATTTTTTAGTATAGTTTTGACTGATTGTATGGTTCTCAATAGAAAATTTTCTGCGGTTTAGGACGATACAGATATCAAGGACATCAGGCTATCCCTAAGGCTGATAGCACTCCTCAACGCGACGAGGTGCGAGGGAACTCTCGGCAAGGGTTTTAGATGATATTTACTATACAATCTGGAACGATTGCTGGCAGCTCTGGCGGCTGGCTGCGGCAGTAGTCGGCTACCCGGATACCACTTGCACGCCTTCACCGCTTTTTCGAAGAATTGATAAATCCGCCAAATCTCTACACTTACGGTATTATGGTACTTTATTTCCCAAGCATGAGGCATGGGAAACCATAGTCTTAGCCATCAATGGCTGATGAGCTTAGGAAGACGTCCCAAGTCAAATTCGCGAACGCGTCGCGTGGCCCTACCGAGGCGGCTCGCGAGGACTCGAGTCCCGCCGACCGTGACACTCAGATTGGAATCCTTTGTATTTATCATGAGATGTGTCACTTGCTCATATCAATTATGTTTATTATGCTCATCATTCCCAAGCTTGTTTATTTCTCTGGTTATTTATATCAAGTAAATAAAGGCAAAAACTTACCCTTGGTGGGATGGGCACGTTAACGGTTGATGGCATGAAGACTCTAATACGTGGTTTTGATGAATGAACCACAGTTACAGGCACTGGCTTTGTTTCGACCGTATTTGATTGTATCTTCACCTGTGAATTTCCTTCGCTAAACTTCCTCCGATTTTCGGTAACAGTGAATCCTGTGAATAACACGGAATAATTCATTATAATCTGAGAAAAACTTATTCAAGACTAACTCACCTCTACATCGCATACAAAATCTCTTAACTTTGTCCAATATCTCTATGCCTTCCTTGTGCTCTTCTGCAATCACATCATTACACGGAAGCTTCACAGTTTCCGATGAGGAGTCAGGTGTGAATCGACACTCGCGTGTATCTTTATGATAGTAAGCTACCTAAAAAAGACAATAAATGAGACTCAGGAGTTCTCGTACAACATCTGTGAAAACGCAAGTGTAAGAATAACTTACGTCGCAATTTTTATTGTAACAGCTCAAAGCGCAGTGCAACGAGCTTAGAGCTATTACCCTTTCAGTGAGAAATCTTGCTACTCCTTCTACGAGATCTTTTCCGTCGAGGACATCAACCCTCGTGGCACACTCTGGAAAATCGAGAATTGACGACTGATTTCTGAAAACTGCAGAATCAGATTAGAATGAACGCTAACTCCTTACAATTACAAACACTGCCATAAATCGATTTTGCTAATCGGCCAAAACTTTCAAACGCCCAAAATTTCTATATTTGAGAGCGCTAACAAACTTTGAAGGGACCCGTCATACTTCGCCGAAAAAAGCCCAAAAGCGCTGAAAAAAGCCAGAAAAAGCCCACAATAGCCCAAGAAGCCCGAAAAAGCCCAAAAAAGCCCAAAAAAGCCTGAAAAAGCCGGAATGCAAAACGAACTTCTGGTATTCTGACATTACTTTGATATGCAGACGACAGAAAATGAAACAAAAAACCTCGGTTGCGAAATCAACACACATGCCTTAGCGCCAAAACGTGCGAGGAGTGTTCCTGCTCTTTCTGGCGCTTTCGGATTTTCGTGCTATTTCGGGCTTTTTTGGGCGCTTTTGACCTTTTTCCAGCGAGGTATGACGGGTCTCTAACGCTCATTTTACCATCAAATTGCTCTCCAAATGAGTTGTAACTACGAAAAAACTCTAACCAAGAGTAATTTTAAGCTGTTGAAAAAAATGTTAAGCATTGCATTTTCTTAGCTTTTCAGAGACCTACTTTATAGCAAGACTATCTAAAAACCCTGCTATAAAATAAGTTTGTTTTGAAGATTTGAAAATGTTAGTCGGATAATGTCCACATACCTGGATTATTTTCTGTTCTGACAAATGTGAAGGGTAAGAGGTAGAGGAGTAATCTTAAGATCATCTAAAAACAAATAAAATCAATAAACAAGCCTGTGGTAAGAAAGCGGTGAGAGAGCACGAGTTAATACTGACACATGTCGCGACAAATTTCAACATAGTACGATAACTCTCGTTTTTTTTGAAAGAAAATACGACGCACGGTCGCCCGACTCATGTGACATCACCGTCGCCTGGCCATATCTTACTTCACAATGGACGAATTCTTAACCCAAGGGCACCATTCATCTCAGCTCGGCGCGGCTTGTCTTTTGCTATACAGAAGTGCCTGCTTGGACACAGCAAAAAGCCGGATTCCACGAAGTTTCAGATTTTTGCTTACGGTAGGTTACTCAGTATGCTTATTCATTGCACTCACTGGGCAACCTACCGTAAGCAAAAATATGAAACGACTCCCTGGAATCTGGCCTCCTACTGTGTCCAAACATGCACTTCTTTACATTAAAAGATGTGCCGCGCCGAGCTGAGACGAATGATGCCTTTGGATTAAGAATTTGTCCACTCTGAAGCGAGATATAACCAGGTGACGGTGATGTCACATGAGTCGGGCGACCGTGTGTTGTTTTTTTTTCAAAAAATACGAGCGGTATTGTAAGTCAATGCTCAATGGAACAACTTATAAGCTTTGAGCCAGGGCCTGGCACGAGTCGGTTTCTAGGGTTTCTGAAAACGAAGTCTCCCCTGACTTACGGAAGTTTTACGAAGTCCCTTTTGACCTACCTGCTTAGAAGAAGATGAAAACAAGAAAAAATTACTAGTTTGAAAGAAAAGACGTAAGAAAAGAGCGAAAATCCAAATTGGAGCTGAATACTACGCATGTACAAGACTTTGGCATTAGAGCGCGATATTTAACAAAGCGAGAATAAATGAAGGCAAAAAACAAAGGAAAGGCAATGATATGAAAATGTCTTCATGCTCAGGGATAGATTTTTGACCGGGGAATCCGTCCATGCTGAAAAGATCCGAAACTTATGTGAAGTGACGAAAATATATGCTCCAGGCGATCTCAGATCGTCTGGTGGCCGTCTGAAGACGATCTAATTTTGGAAAAGATATTACTTCACATAAGTTTTTGAATCTTTTTACTTAAAAGTTTCGCAAATAATTTTCTATACATATAGTTCAATTTTGGTGTCATATGCTTCTGTAGGCGCTGTAAACAAGCAAATTGTTTATTTAAGCCTTGCTTTCAAATCGCGCGCACTTTTCGCCATACACGATAGAGCATGTCAATCGTGTGATAATCTGTCCGAAAAGCTTGCGTTCGATTAAATGGCGCTCATTCTTGGTGCTTGCCCCTATTCGTCAGAAACGATATCTCCTTTGCTGTTTGCTTCAAAAACGAAGTCCAGCCTGCTTCCAGACGATCTGTGCCGGGCCCTGCTTTGAGCTCATTAGCGTTTTTAACTACGGCTTTAAGTTTAGAAGTATGTAAGTGTGGCCAAAATGTCACACTGACGGCACCATGAAGGTTGTGTATGAATATTTTGTGCTTCTCTAGTATTGGGACAACAAGCGAAGTTGGCGGCTTGCACAGAGTTTTATCTTGAAATATTCAGTTCATTGCTAACAACCGTTGTGAGACTAATTCAAAATGCCACGATTCTCCTGAGCGTCACTTCTGGGCTTGGGTCAAAAAATAGCGAGTAGTGGTACTGAGCTTCGCACACCAAACACGAGACTTCAAAGCTCACGTCTAACTATGTCGCTATTTTCATTCGCATTCGGAAAATAATAAAAATTTTCCGTACTCACTGCTCGACGCAAAACTTGAATATGACTCCGCACATAAAAGAACTCGATGTCTTGGCTCCTTACAATTTTTAACTGGTGAGTAGAGCTGAGCGGTGGTATGGTTCGGCGAAGCTAGTGACATGCCTTACTGACGGATAAGGATAATTCAGGATATAGTGAAATGTTTGACCAAGTATACGACTAAAAGGTGGATCTGCGGCGTACAAGGATGATTCTAGAGATCCTCATAAAAAGTGCGGTATCTTTCACGATTGCGGAACGCACTTATGATTTTTATGCTTCTGAAGGTGTGCAATTAACAATATTGATGCCGTCACCCATAAAACAATAGTGCATGATAGATTACTGTAAAAGTTGACAAAACTCTGGGAGTTTTTGAAGACCTCGTATTACTTTTCTAGTCCGTAGTAATTATTTTGTCTTTCCTACCATTGATAAATCAAACACAGATTGTGTTCAGACAACTCTGCTTATGACAGTTGCCGATGTGAGGCAGTTGCAGTGTGAGGCACACTTTTGGAAAGGAAAGAGGGGGGAAGGGAGTTAAGCATGCTAGAAGGGCCAGAGCAAGCCAATTTTGGCACACAATTGGGTTGAATTAAAGAAAGCTGCCAAAAAAGTTTAATACGGCAAAGGCTGCTCCGCTCAATGTGGATGGTTTAGAGGTACTGTTGCAAAAGTGGGGTCCAGACTACTGAAAAATGTTGAAAATCTGACTTTCATATCAACTTCTTACTGCTACTGTACAGCAAAAAGAACAATCCACACCTACCCTGAATCTACGCTGAGCCGATTGAGTCTACAGCCTGGTTCCTTCTAGGTATGTTTACGGCGAACCTTACGGCCAGATATATTTATCTTCTTATATATAAAGTTGAATGTCTGTTTGTCTGTCTGTCTGTCTGTACGTATGTTCCAAATAGAAAATTCCATTTCTGGACCGATCCGGACCAAACTTGGCATACATACACTTCGGGGCCGGGCGGGTGTCATAGGCTACTTTTCGTCATCGATCGATGTCGATTTTATCGATTTTTTGCAAAGTTTTAGCTATGGGGGTGGGAGTTGGCATAGGGGGTAATCGAGCATGCTGATCACGAATACAATATCATTTTCTGGAATTATCTGCTACTTTTATCGATTTTATCGATTTCTTGCAAAGTTTGAGCTACAGGGCTGGGAGTTGGCACAGGGGGGTAATCGAGCATGCTGATAACTAAAACAGCGGGAATAGTGAATAGGCATGTAGCGTGGGACAGGAAAAGGTTTACAGGGATAGGGATGTAAGCTTTATCATAGTGTTTTGACAGGGCCGGGCGGAGCCGGGTAAGCCAGCTATTACGATATATTTTGTAGCAAGTAATGCAGAAAAAATTTCATTTCGCAGTCTTCTATAGTATTATAAGTTTTCGGTGAAAGAACATCATAGATGCGACATCAAATCTAGTAATGAAAGAATATACATTCATACAGTATTGAGGCCACATCCTTTCCCCCCTATGGGTCATTAGATCTGGTTAATGACAAAGCGTACAAAAGTTTTGAAATTCAATCATTGAGACTGAGTTGTGGAAATGGATTGAAACCATCTCTACGATATCAACAGTAAAAACTGTAAAAGACTCTACAGCTCAATTCGAAATACAGGTTGAAGTGCAACCCCATTCCTAGACAGAAGGCGCAACATTAGCAATATAATGTACCAAGTAAAATGTAAAGTATCTTCTTATGTGTTGCATTCAGGTTTATATGTATGAGCCACACCTATCTATAAATTCTTTTTTTTTTCAAAGGAATGTGACCAGAAATTAATGATTGAAAACATGGTTTTGACTCTGCAGCATGTTGCTTCAGGAAACCAGTTTTCGTTATGTATTATGCATTTGTTTATGTGCGTTTTGCGATCGCAGAAATACTGCCATTCTTGCTTATCGCAGGTTCGCAGTACTCATTAACTCTCCATAGAGCTTTCATCGAAATCTTATTGCTCTTATATGAAGAATGAGTTTACTCTAATCAAAGTAGATAAGAGGTCTCATGATTGATTTGAGCGCTGAAAAATAAGATTTTCATCCTTAGCAGGAAATGTTCAGAATTTAACCCAACCAATCCCAACAATCTATTTATCACCGGACTCGTCTTGAAACGCTAAACACAAATATATGTTTGTTATCTGCCAAGCGTCTATTTGGGAGTAGTTATGAGCTTTTAAATGTGCGATTTGTCCAGTGTTCTGTGGCGCAAGTTCCACGAAATAGGTTCCAACAACACTCATTTAGTTTTTTGGTGAATGTGCCTCTTCCTTGTAATTAAAATAACCAAGCCGCTGTTAATCCGCCCCATCAAGCTGCCTTTTAAGCAAACATATTTGTGGAAACTCGACAAATTTCTCATATTTAAAACTCATAACTCTTCCCAGATAGTTGCTTGGCAGATAAAAACATATATCTGAGAGATATCAAGACAAATCCGGTGATATACAGCTTGTCTGGAATGTCTAGGTTAATTCTGACCTCCTCGTTAGTTGTTTTCCAGTAGGCTGCTTTCGGTCGCTTATTTTTAACACACAGGTTCTTCTGAAGCAAATGATTGCAGGCGAAGCGAAACTTGAGCATTTTATGCTTCGAGCACGTGTTACTCTTGCTTGAAGTTCAATAACTACATATTTTTCGACAACAAGTCCGATAATAAGCACAGGATGTTTTGACAATTTTTGGGCTACAGATGAAAACGCACTCACATTGAATTGTATCCATTAGGTTGCGCATCATTTTCAAAAAATCATAACTTCTTTGCCATTTGATGGACTTTCTAAAGTTTTTTTTTGAAAGAAGAATTCATGCTGTTTACAGCTGTGCTTCCGCTATGAATTGGCTTGAAAAATCTCGAGAGTTAGAAGCGATGAAGGAAACCAGTCAAGATTGGCATTTTTCGAGCTGGGTCACAATCTGGAAGAATTTTTATATGAAAGAGAAGATTTTGCGCATAACTGTGGTACCTTTCTCGCAAATTATTATGAGATAGTTCGAAAGTTACAAGCAATTGAAGAGAATTAATTCAATTTTGCAGTTTTTCAGGTTGCTCAAAAAAGCTTCAAAGATCGCGGCAGAGACCGAAACAGTCATAAACATGGCTTTTGTAACCTGTCCTAAAATTGAAGTAATTCTCTTCAATTGTAACTATTTGCGAGAAAGATAATGCGGTAATGGGTCCAAGGGTAAAGGTGCGGTAATGCAGTCCACAGTAATG